CTCCCTCCGCTTCCAGCCCTTCCCTGCTCTCATCTCCCCTGCCCAAGCGCTGCCTCCCCTCCTGTTTTGGGGCTCCCTTTAGGTACTGAAGGCTGCAATCAGGTCCCCCCAAAGCACCTGAACGCTTTGTACATGGGCCGGTACCAGCAGACGAAGGAGCAGGGCGTGTAAAGCAGAGCCCAGAGGATGGAGAGACCGAAACCAGAACCTGAGGAGGGATCCACGCAGAACCAGGCCAGCGAGGACAAGAAGTTGAGGAGCAGAGCGACGGTGCTGGCTGAGAGAAAGGAGCTCGGTTGGGCGACCCAAGCAAGGTTTGAAGCAGAACCGCCCCCCCTGAGCCCCCCCAGCCCGCGGACCGACCCATCCACAGGTAATACATGGCAGTGACCGTCTTCTGGAAGTCAGCGGGGATCTCCACGGGGATGTCCTGATAGAAACACGGCTTCACCGGGCAGCAGGAGGGCAGGGGGGGCCAATTGTTGGCTCGGGCTGCGAGTGGAAGCGGTGAGAAGGAAGAAAAGGGACGGAAAGAGGGAAGGGAAGGGCGAGGAGCTGCGGCCGCTCACCGGCGCCGCCCCCCAGGGCCGCGTTCTGCAGCTCCCGCTCCCTCCGGTCCAATTCCTCCGCCTTCCGGTTCAGTTCCTCCTGCCGTTTCAGCAGCTCGGCCGTGGCTGCCGCAGCCGAGGCCTACGAGAGAGTTACGGGGCTCGGTTTCCATCTCCCTCTTCTCCCCCCTCCCCGCCTCCGCGGCCGCCGGTTCCGTACCTGCGTCCCGTAGGAGCCGTAGTTCCGCGGCTCGGTTGGGCTCGGTCTCCTCGGGGGCTGCGCGGTTCCCGGCGGCGGCTGAGGCGCAGTTTCGGGCGGAGCGCGGTACGGCGGCGGCGGCTGCGGACGGAGCGAGAAGGGAGCGGTGAACGGCCGGGGAGCACCGGACGGACCGGGAAACGGCCCCGGAGCGCCGCAGCGTTCAGCTCCATCCGGGCGCGATCCTCACCGCGCCGCTCTCGAAGGGATTATAGGCGTCCAGCGCCGCGCTGTCGGGGCCGGGCCGGTGCTGCACCACGGCGGGGTCCTGCAAGAGACGCGGCGGGAGCTCAGATGGGGAGCGCGGACCGGGAGCCGATACTGAGAACTGATACCGGGAGCTCGCACCGGGCCCGGAGCCGCGGAGCAGCGCAGCTCACGCACCTGGAAGGGGTTATCCGGGAGCACCGCGGGGCCGCCATGTTGGGCCATGGCCGCACCGGGACCGGGAGCAGAACCGCCGCCGAGTCCGCCGCGCCGCCCCGCCCCGCGCCTCCGATTGGCCGCCGCCCCCACGACGTCACCGGCGCCGCTCGGGGCTCCCGAGAGCCGCACCGCAGGTGGCTGTGCGCATGCGCGGGGCCGGAACGAAAGCGGCGACCACCCGACGCGACCACGTGCTCGGAGTCACGTGGCGGCGCGCACGCTCTCCCCCCGACTTCCGGTCTCTCTGCAGTTTCCTCAGCGCGCGGCCCGCTGGGAGCGCGGCTCCACGGCAATGCCGTCTCCATGGCAACGGCGCGCCGGGGCCTGCACGGAAACCGCGGGCCGCCAGGCCTGCACTGCAAGGGCCGGGCTGAGCGCGGAGCCGCTCTGCCGCTCGGTACTGCGGGTATCCAAGGCTCCAGCCCTGGACGCAGTGCTGCAGACGGGGCCTCAGAAAGCAGAGCACAGAGGGACGATCGCCTCCCTGGCCCTGCTGCCCCCCCTCTGCTGACGGCGCCCAGGATCCCGTTTGCTTTTCGAGCTGCAATCACACCCTGCTGGTTCAGCTTTTCACCCCCGGGGATCCCCGGCTCCTTCAGTGCAGGGCTGCTTTCAACCAGCACTCCTTCCAGTCTGCATCAATGCCTGGCATTCCTGAGGCCCGAGTGCCAAACTTCGCTGTGTTGAACCTCACCAGGCTCCCCCAGGCCCACCTTTCACTGCTGTCGAGGTCCCTCTGAATGGCAGCCCTTCCTTCCACCCTTCATCCGCACCTTTCAGCTTGGTGGCACCTGCAAACTTGCCGAGGATGCACTCGATTCTGTCATTGACATCACTGATAAAAGAGCGCTGCTCCCAAGACAGAGCCCTGGGGGATTCCTCTCCTTACCGGCCTCCCCCAGGACAAAACCTGGCAGCTCCTGGAGCAGCAGCGCTCAGCCCCGCAGCCCCTCAGCAGCAGCACAGCTCAGCCCGCAGCTGCCTCCATCCCCAGCTTAAAACACTGCTCAGCCTTTGGCCGACGGAGCCCCACGCAGACACAACAGCTCTGATCCTCCACTGCAGCCCGGCCAGCAGCACTTCAGGGCAGAGCAATTAAAAGCTGCGCATTCAGGATTTGGACGCTGCGCTGCACTTTGTGTTTTGGCTTTTATATTGGGACAGACAGACTGCAGCTCCCTGCGACTCCCACTGGGAGACTGGGGCAGGGTTGGGTACAGGCAGCAAAGCTGTGATGCTGCAGGCTGCGGCTCACAGCTCCCACTTCAAGACCATACGTGCAACAAAACGAGCTGCTGTCACCCCCTGCCTCCCTCCACAACCCCACGCAGAACCAGGGCTGCCTTTTATCCCTCTGCATGCTGGCAAACAGGACGGAGGCAGATGGAGCAGCAGCACAGCACTACAATCCCGCAGCGCAGACCGCGACATTCTGCCCCAACAGAGCCCCGCTGCCCCTCCGCGCACAGCCCTGCAAGTTTCTTCACTTCATATTTATTTCCCCCACAAAGAACTGTACAAAATCCTTATAAAACTCTGGTGTGAGGATGGGCTGTGACAGCGATCCAAAAAAATAACTCCCATGCAGTCCCACCAGTTTCATAACTTACACGGAAACAGAGAAGCTACAGAGAGCTGCGAGTCCTGGGTTCTGTACACTGAGGGGCGCAGGGTTGAGCAGGAGACAAAGCAACACGTGAACCAAAGTATTTACAGTATGGACATGCAGACCCCCCCTCGGCCCCCTGGCAATGTTGGCAGCAGGAGGCGGGGCCTGCAGTGCTCAGAGGCCGATATAGAATATGAGCTATTTACAGTATCTCACATATTAACAGCTTTACAAACACGTCCGGGGAGGTTTGTATGTATCAAAAAAAAAAAAGAAAGGAAGGAAGAAAGGAAGAAAAAAAAGCACCAAATGTCTGAATAGAAATCGCATGGGCCTCCACGGGGGCTAAAATCTGAGGGCAGGATGGCACCTGTGGCGTCACCGGCTGATGTCTCTGCTAGAGTCCCACATCTTTGTGCTCGGCTCCATCTCCAGCACGTCAAAAAATGGGTGCTTGAGGGCTTCAGCCAGGCTGATGCGTTTGGACGGCTCGTACTCCAGCATGCTCTCGATGAGGTCGAAAAGGCGGTGGTGGTCCTCAGCCTCAGAGGTCAGGTAGCGCTGGGGAGGGAGGAGGGGGAGGTCAGGGCGAGGAC